ATTACCTATATGAATCACTCTTTTGTTTCTCGTCTCTATTTTTTGTGACTAACTTTTCAGCTTTCTGTGAAGTCCGAATTTTAACTAAAGAGCGAATGATGACAAATATTTATTTATATCAAATGGCAGGCGTCTTGATGGTTATCATTAGCCCCTTGGTTGACTTCAGGCTTCACAGAAGAGTGCTTCAAAGATGTAAGAGACAGACACAAAGGTAGAACAAAGGTGGGGTGAGTACTGTGAAATATTCGAATATGGCATAGAGTGAGGTGATGGTAGTTTGAAGTCAGAGGTCCACTGGCGAATAATAGACTTTTTGCCGTATAAATATACGTTGCCCAGGATGCACCACGTCTATCCCACACCCCATGATGACTAATATAAAGCCTGCCATTTGATATATATAATAATTGCAGAGTTCGATACCCAGCCATTCGATAATTATGCAATTAATAATATTTTAAATGCACATAAATGTTGATCTTAAAAATTCGTTTTTGTGATGCAGTTCCTCTTCTCAAATTGAGTTATGGTGGCTCTGTAAATTACAAACTTGATTTTGAAATTTCATGTTCGTCGTAGAGTAATTAATATTTTTTATCAGTTGGATTCACTAAATTTTTCGGATTGTCTAACAATTTTTGTAAATGTGCCCGCCAATAATGATTGACAGCCTTCAGTAAGAATTTCGAAGTCATCCGGTTTTGTAGCAATTTTTTTATACACACTATGGATTCCAGAGCTGTATGCTTATACTCTTGAAATTGTTGTAGATTGTTATTTTTGAATTTTTACAGCATTTTTACCATTAGAGATAAATCCAGCATTTATTTTAGGAAGAAAGAATTGTGCTAGAGTCTATATATACATCTGACGAGATAAGTATTACAGATGAATACAAAATACGGTTTAGGGTAAGACTATTTCTTTTTAGTTTTTTGTTCTTTTCCTAGTTAGGAACCTCTGGAGAACTTGAATCTTTCGTTGTCAATATAACTTGGCCTTTGGATTATCCATCCATTCCTCCTATAATCGATTTTAACGAGTTTTGTAATCGAAACATGCCTCGTGAACTACAGCAATCCATAATAAGCGAACTTAATGAAATATCCTCTCAAAATGTGGGAGAGTCTCACACATTTCTTTTGATTGAACATCTTAGAGATAACTTTGCAAAGTACGCTCAACAGATAAGAGATACCAAAAAGCGACCTAAAGAGCAAGTATTGGAAACAATTGTTGGCGAAGATACAAAGGTGGCCTTTAGATTTTCTTTCCTAACACTGTTTGTAGGAAAAAAAGGTTAGGAAAGATGCCGCTTTGACGAAAGCTCAGAAAAGAAAGCAGATAAATCGTTTGGACTCGGATGGCAATCTGCCACGAGGATGGAATTGGGTAGATGTTATTAAACATCTCCGTCAGACAGGAGTTCAGCCTAATTTGTCTTCTTAGAGTTATGACAACATTGTTTGTAATAAACTGTATCTTTATGCCTTCGTTTGTCGTATTGCGTCAATTTATGAAGCCAATTAACGATTTTTTATCTAGTAGGCTTTTTCCTTGACCGCCTTTAATTCACTCCACTAATGAGAATATAAACTTGCGAGTGATCTCGCTTCAGATATTATAATAACGAGACTCCGATGTAAACTTTTTAAGGAAATTAATATGCATTTGATTGTTCATTATAATGAAAATAATCGCATCGGCACAAGTGGTAATTTGTCTTGAAATTGTCACATTTTTTATCTCCACTAGGTCATTGGCTGATCAAAATGTCCAATTTAGATGCCAAAATGTACTTTACAACTCTACACTTTCCAACTTACCAATTGGCCAAGTAAATATTAGTTCACATCTTCGGTATTTTTCCTCATTTTGCCATGAGGACCTTTGCTTTTGGGTAAAAATTTATAGAATATTCTGAACGCAATTTTTCCCCCGCCGATTTGATACCCGAATTAAGTGCGCAATAGACTTACCTCCACGTGGTGCACCCTGGGCAACGTATTCTCATACGGCAAAAA